AAAGGAAAGGGCAGGCGGGGAGTGGCTTCCACAGGCACTGGAAAGGCACAGGAGTGGGGATGAGGGACAGGGAGCAGTGCTGGCCCCAGACAGAAGAGAGGGGCTCTGGGATCCCAGCAGTGACCCGTGTGCTCACCCCCCGGGGCGAGGCGGGGTCCCATGCCTCCTGCTCAGGTGATCACTTTGATCCCAAAATATTTGCGCAGCTGTTCCAGGAAGACAAAGGTGAGGACGGTGTGAGGAATGAGCCGGATAGCAGCAGGAACAAAGCCCTGGAAGGGGACAGTGAGAACAGGGAGAGTCAGCATCTGCCTGGCCCTGGGCTTCCCTGTTGGGGCCAAAGGTGCCCAGCAGCCCGGCCAGGGGAGCCACCTGGCCTGGGAGCAGCCACGGGGCTGGGAGCCTGTGGAACGAGTTGCGAGGAGCTGCAGGCACAGGGGAGGGAGGCGCTGCAGCCATCGCTCCGCACACCGACCCAGCCTCAAACATCAGCCCCTCCGTCCCAAACACAGCGGGGCTGGTGTCACTGCTCCATGGGCAGTCTGGGCAGAATGCAGGTCAGGCCCCACAGCCCCCAGCTCGGAGGGGCTGGACACTGCCTGGAGAAAAGAACCTGTGACAGGGAAACTGCCTGACTAGCAGCAGCTGGATGGAACCTCAGGAGTGAAACCCCTTCCCAGGGGTCCTCCCAGGAGAGAGGCTGAGCAGCTGGGTGACTGCCCCAGGGCCTGAGCTGGTCAGGAACAGAAAGGGCTGCAGAGCTGGGGATGCTCCTGCCCCACCTCTGCTCCCAGCCTGGCCCATTCTTCCCCTCCTGCCCATCCCACCTACCCCCAAGTACCTTGTAGAAGGCAAGGGGGCCGAGCTTGGCAGTTTCCATGGCACAGTGGGCAACACCCTGGAGTGAGAAGGAGAGAGATGAGGTGGTGCTGAGGGACAAAGGCCTGTGCACACAAGGGACAGAGCAGCAGCAGAGGTGTGCAGGACAGGCCACTCACCCGGTACTCGCCCTGGGAGTTCATGAGACGGGTCTTGAGCACATCCAGGGGCTGACACAGGAATGTGGCACATCCACCCTGGGGAAGGTAGCAGAGTCAGCAGAGCCAGCTCACTGAGGAGACCCGGGTGCTGGCAACTGCCATGGTCACCAGAGAGACCCAGAGCCCTGCTGGGGCCAGACCCCTGGCCGGGAGCCCCACAGGAGCCTCAGCGCCCAGCCCTGTTCACCAGAGCCCCAAGAGGCAGCTCCAGCAGCCTTGGCCAGGGGTTCCGAGCTCAGGTGCAGACAGACCCAGCCCCAGGCTGCCTCCCCACAGCCAGCTCTGCTCACAGCGATGAAGCTGGCCAGGAAGTGAGTGAAGATGTTGTCTGACAGAAATCCAGTTGAGAGAACCAGCTGCTTGGCCTGGTCATAACAGGAGAGCTGTGGAGACATGGACTATGAGTGACACATCCCCCCCTCCTTGCCATGCCAGGGACTACCCCTGCCCCCACTGCTCAGCAGGGCTGTCCTACCTGCCCAACGGTGACAAGGGCCCCTCGGCTGGATGCCATTGTAGCTCCTGAGAAGAGTTTCTTCAAGCCCTCTGTGGACAGACAGATTGGGGTCAGCACAGTCCTGAGACATTACTTGCCCTCCCTTCCCTGGGAGCCCCCTCCCCAGTCTGTGTCCCAGACTGCTCGTACAACAGCAAACAGGCTACAGGAAAGGAAAACCCTTCAGAACAGCCCTACCTCCCCCCCCAACCCGCCTTCCCACCTGCTCCCTCACCAGGTCTCTCGTTTCCCCTGGGGGGTGGGCTGGCTGCCAGGCCCTGCCTGGCCCGTGCCCCAGGCA